GTCAAGTGGCGAAGGCTACTCGCCAAAGTGAGCAGACAGAATCTGCCCTGCTACCACTTTTCCCTTCTAACCTCTAACCTTGTGATCTTAAATATGACCGATCTTTTGTACTTTGTTGCTCTCATGTTTAACTCAATAAACATGAGTAGCTAAACTCATTAAGGGTCTAATCCCAACTATCTATATGTGAAGGTTTTAATTCAGTTTCTTATATGAGGCATTGTTTCTAGTTAAGTGTTTAAATTAACTTTTTTTATTAAACTGGCCCCTTAATTAATTGTGCACGCATAGTTATGGAGATCTGAGAGGGGAAACATAACTTTAGAACTGCTTAAACTGGTCTATGACAAAGGAGAAAATCTACCCTTTGGTTGCAATCATCAACGAGAGTTAGGTGCATTGGCATAGGTGACCAATAGGGCTTAAGAACTCAATGGCTCAGATTAATGAATTACTCTGACTGAGAGGTAGGTAATTTAATTGATCTGAGACTCTTTATTCTGTCTGAGAGGAATTGTAAAGAATATAAGTGCCTGATCAAACAATAAATCATATGCAACAAAGAATTAAAAGGATCAAAACCGGATCATGTAGATAGGAAGGTTATTAGTCCTTCTGCTCCTCACTCTGTCAAGTAACTATTCTCACTCTCCCAAGTGACAAATCTATTCAGCTTATTTTCCTTTGTTTGCACAATAATCAGATTTTAAGCGGTTAACTGACGTCTCTGTGGAACGACCCTGCTCACCACTAGCTAATAGTTTTTAGTAGGTATTTATTTCTTTTGGGAGTGTCAATAACGATCATTCACCAATAGTGGTGGAACCAACATATGATATTTGGAGGGGGAGGGGGGGGGGGGGCTCCCTATCCATTAGATTTTTAGGAACTCTTCAACAATATTAGTTGTATCATTAAATTTATTGAGTGAAATTTTATATTTTTGAATAATTAAGGGCCATAATTTTTAACACAAAGGGAAAGAGAAGCAATTTTAAGTGGTACAGGGTAATCTTTATAATATTTAGAAAGTTTAGGATCAAACTAAAATTTATAAAGTTGTTAAAAAAAAATCAAGTCATCATCTTCTTTCCCCATTCCTTCGCTGCAACTCTCTTCCCCGTCAGTGACTTCAAATCTCAAAATTAAAAACCCCAAAATCTTAAAATAGAACACCCAACCTCAAAGAGTATTGTCTTCACCTCTTTGTAAAGCTCCCACACACTCATGTTCGTGGGGGGGGGGGGGTTGAGGCAAGGAAAGGAACCTCTGAGGGGTTCTGGCCAAAGGCAAACTTGGCCTTCTCGGATCGGTCGGGGGGGCTCGAGCTCGAGCCCCCAACGTGGTGATAGCAATCTCGTAGATGAAGCAAATTTCGTTAATGCAACCATCAAATAAGAAAGTACGAAGATAAGTTGTCTATCCCGTGGAAAATTCACAGTAAGACGATCGTTTATCTAAGAATTTCTATCTCTTAACTCAAACCAAGCGAAGAACACATTATCTATGAAAAATTCAAATTAAACAACAACCCACACTAAGAATAGTAAGGACACCATTCAATATACTCGATCACTCATCATTCAAGATACTCAAGAAAGGTAAGAGCAAACAATGCTCAACTATGAAGGATAATATTGATTAGTAATCTCCATAACCAACAAAGATCTACAACACATACACTATCTCAAAATGCTTATGCCAAAGCACAACTCATCCAACAAAAGTAGGACAAACCCCACAATGGAACTCATGAACACACACATCATGAATTCGAAAACCCTAGCCAAAAGAAAGGCCCAACTCTTGAACTACTAGAAGTAGTCTGAAAATAAGAAGTTTAGTTTTAAAACAATTCTATCAAGAAGCATACTTGAAAAAGAACGGTTTCTGCAAGATCAAAAGATCCAAGACAAGATGAAAACCTCTTCGTTAAATCATACTTGACATGAAAAATGGACACACCATTTAACAAAAATTCCTCACACGAAAAACTCTCATTAGAGAAGACTCAAAATGACCACACATGGGTGCTTTAATTTTCAGCCATCCTCCCCTATTTATAGATGTTGATAGAAAGTAATAAAGTAAATAAAGTTATCATATTTCCTGCATTATTGTGAAATAAACATTATTTGGCTCATTGGATAATTTGTTTTCCATGATATTCAACTTACTTGAAGCTTTGAAATTTTTTTATGTGTTTATTTATACTAGCTAGCTAGGTCGGATGTTGTTGTGATCACGTTGGTTTTGGCTTTAATCTACTATATATGATCTCAAATCTCTTTACACATATAATTAGCATCACTGATTTTATCAAAGTTCTTTTATTCAAGATCTTCAAATATGTATAATTAGCATCATTGTTTGTATAGGTTCTTTTATTCAAGATCTTCAAGTATATGAAGAATCAAAAAGTTTAGATCATAAAGAGTGGGCGATGTACGCAAGCCAGTGCTAGGTCCTCAAGATGATGGTGGCCTTGAAATCGTTAATTGTTCAGTAAAGGTGTAGATCTACTCTTTCTATTTCCCTTTTTTTTCCTTCCGGATATGTTTAGTGTTGGCTTTTTTGAACTGTATTCATCTACATTTATATTATTTTCTTTACTCTCTTTTTTTCACAGTTATAGTTTGTCCACATAGAAGGACAACTTGACATGATTTGACATACCGAGTTGATCGGGAATGCAAAAAAAAACCTAGCCAATTCCATGTTGATTTCCCCACTTCCAAAACAAGTCAAACAGACCTGTTGAGGGGGATTCGACAGCCGAGCATACTTGTTACAGAGGGAGAAGAAAAGAATCAAACCACCAAAAGCGCAAAAATAATGTGACTGTTGAGAATGAAAATCAATAGCGCACTAAAATCAATGATTGGTTTATTTATACTTGAGATTTGAAGTGTATTGTGTGTTATTATATCATAGAAGTTGTCTCTGAAACTCATATTGAGTGCACATTTTTTTTCCTATTTAATGTTAGTTTGATAGTATATTTGTTTTCCACAAGTTTGTGTATAGAAGCAAAAAATTCTTAAGGAAATAAATCAAAAAATTCTGAAGTTAGAGGAAAGATGGGTTGGTTAGCATAGCAAAAGTCCATACTTTTTACAATTATAATAGTTTTTTAATTTGAAAAATAAAATGTCAATTTAACTTTAACACAATATTATCTAAGAGTAATGATACATGCAAAAATTTACAGGGAATGATGTGTCAATTATCAAATCTATGTTCTAACCTTAAATATTAAAACCACTAATGGAAAGTATTAAAAATGAATTGTTATGATTAGTGTTCTATTAAAATTTCCTCTAAAATATCAATGCACAAACCATTATCCATTATCTAATTTATAACGCACAAAGCAGAATATGAGATTGCGACATGGTATTGATACTAAATTGTCCAACGACATAAAGGAGTTTCATAATGACTACTCACGATCAGCGAGGAAAAAATTGGAAGAAGATATAAATGTTCGTTAGTTCTACTGATTTTGATTCACTTCATCACATTGTCCCCAACATTATATACTATATTCAATTTTTGTACCGCATCAACACTGAAAGTTTCTCAATTACAAAGCACTATTACCTGATATTAAAACAAAAACAATCTGTCAATATGTGCAACGCACGGGTATAGACTAGTAAGAAATGGGTAGCTAGGAATACTGACAGTCTTAAAATAATAAGGGAAGGATATGTAAGAATAGTGAAAGTCTTAAAATGACACAGAATGATTATGTAAGAATAGTAAAAATCTTAAAATAATAAGGAAGTAGTAGGTAGAAATAATGAGAACCTTGGCTATAAATAGAGCTCTTCATTTTGAGTTCTTGAACACCCAAAATTAATTAAGGGATCGGACACTTCTTAATGGGGAACTATTCCCAAGCTATAGTTCAAAATTTTTATAGGAGGTCTTAGGAAACTCATGGTAGTTTGCGGGAATTTAGAGGCTCAAAGGTCGTCTATGAGGTAGCTTTCGAATCTCACTTTTAATTAGAGTTACTGCTTTATTATTACGAGAAAATATTTGGATTTACACATATTTTATTATTGTTTTACTTAGGATCCATGATTTTGAATGTGTAGAACTAGGAAATTCTTTATATCATAGTATATATGCTTTTGCGGTAGTAGCTCATTTTCTTAAATTATAATATACACTTTTTTAGTAGTAATATACATTCTTTCAAAGGAACACTATACATGCTTTTATGTCAGCAGTATACTTTTCTTAAATGATAATATATTTTATATTTAGTAGTATAATACTCTCTTGCAAATTAATGTTGCATATGTTTTTTTTGTAACGGTATACTTTCTTAACCAATGGTATATATTTTCTTAGTAGTAGTATACATATTTTAAAGCAATATTGAATACTCTTTCTTAGTATTAGTATACCTTCTCAAATAATGATATATTTAATAAAAGTGTTTATAGTATTGTAATGTAAATAGTTCTTTGTTTTACAAGAAAATAACATTTTTACTAATAGATCACCAAGGGATTTCCTGACTAAGGAGGTTGGATTTTAAATGGAACCATTTGTGACTCCTCTAATCTTTTCTAAGATAATTTCTAGTGTGATTTGTGGTACCTAAGTATAAATAAATTATGTTTTAATAAATCCCTAAGAGATGTCCTATTTAAGGAGGTTGGATTTTAAGTTGGATTATTTGTGATCCTACCAATATTTCCTGTGGATTATTTTTTGGCAATTTATGGTGCAATATTATAAATAGTTTGAGTTCAATATTTTCCTAATAAGGTTTAAGTTGAAACATTAACACATGTTTTAAGTATTTAAAAAGATTTATCAAATAAAAACTCCAAGAAAAGAAAAGCATTCTCTATTTTCTCCGTAAATGTCGGGACAACTTCCCGACGGCGTGAATAACCTAAACACTCTATGGGATCCGAAGAATGATCTGCCAGACTGTATGCTCACTTATTTTCCAGAACTCAAAGCTACTCCTCCTTATGCTTGCTAATAATCATTCTCTAAAAAGATCTCGAGTGGGTGAGAGCCTGATTGAGCAAGATGTTTGTGCCTCGTTCGAACAACCTAAGGGTCCGATCCCACCGCCGAAGGAAAGCTTCTGGGACATGCTTAATCGAAATCGTCCTCATGTGGAGGTAGTGTCCGATGATGAGGAGGGTGGTGAATTGGATGACGATGTCATTGTGGATTTTGGGAAACCAATACCGGATGTGCAGATTAAGGATGAATTATATGCTACAATGGTCAAATCATGGGAAAATGTCGTGGTTTTCAAAGTGATGGGTACAAAGTGGTGGGTACAGTGATGAATCCACATTTACTGTATAACAAACTCACGGCTCTGTGGCCTTTTATGCAAGGGTGCATTTTGAGGGATTTGGAGAATGGATATTACCAAATTCATTTTCATTCCCAGGAGGATGCGGTGAAGGTTCTTGTGGGGGGTCCATGGGTCGTTTCGAAACAATATTCGAAGCTCTATCTCCATGTCCAACCATGGTCTGATGATGTTGATGAAACGAGTGATAAAATTACTTCAGTTGTGGCATGGATCAGGCTTCCAGGGATGCCAGTTTGCGCGGTTAGCTGTGATATTAGATTTGACTAAATCGGTGTGTGCTCAGTTTACCATCCGGGGAAAATTAGAGCGTGCTAAGTACGAATTCCTCCTGGATATTTGTTTTCACTGTGGGCAGTATGGTCATGCACTGATGCTTTGTCCAGAATGTCCAATGGCTGCGAAAGGGGTAACGGTGATAATGATGCGGTGAATCTCGCTAATGGTACGGGTAATCCCAACGGCCCTGGCTCTATTCCGATAACCAGAAGATCTGACGAAAGTCTTTATGGTCCGTGGTTACAGGCTAAAACCAGTGGAAGATCACCTAATTGGTGGAATAAGGGGGCGTCATCCTCGGTTCAAAGCAAAATACCAAGCAAATTAGGGATGGCATCACGTTTTGCGATGTTAGGGGAAAACTAGGGTGAAAGGGAATCAATCACCAAGATTTAAATTTTAATGATGAATTCTCTAATGGCCAGGAAAATAGAGATAATAGGCGATTTGAAAAGGAAAATGGTAAACAGACTTATAATGGGAAATGGAAGGTGGTTTAAAAGAAGAAATAGGGAAAGGATATTGCTAGGGAGATGGCAGCGACTAATGGGGACTTGGAGCTACAAACTAAAAATGGGAATGTAACTAGGTCCTCCTCTGTCCAACAGAAGGGTGGTAAGGGAATTGTAGGAGATGCTATGGATGGGCTGGCAACTGGAATGGGTATGAAGGAGAATGGGCCTAAGCCAGTTGAGATTAGTAATGTTTCCTTTGGCAACTCGGTCACTTTTGTTGTCCAAGCACAATCAACTCTGGATCCACTTAAGCATCAAGCAGTGCATGTACTTAAAAGCCCAATTTTAAATAATAATAATGCCAACCAGCCTGAGGGGGTGAACCTTATTTGGGGGGATGACATGTTGTTGGAATCCAAAATTCTCCCTCTCAATCCACTGTTATCAGGGGTTGAACCTGAGATATGGTAACAGGGGGAAGACACCATTGTTGGGCTTGTGAATGAGGATGTGTATATGATTGGGGAGACAAGTCAGGTCTCAAAAGGCTTGAATGATCTTTGATGGTCTTAGCTCTCTCTTTCCTCCTATTGTGTGTTTATGAATATATTATCATCATGGAACAATCAAGGAGTAGGCTCGCCAGATTTTGTTCAAGTCTTCTCATATGTGAGCAGTATAGGCCTGACATAGTTGATGTGTTAGAGCCAATAATAAGTGGAGTTAATGCCGGTGCTTTTATACAGAGAATTAGTTTTGAACGATCTTTCCGGGTGGAAGCGGAGGGTTTTTCCGGTGGAATTTGGATTCTATGGAAAGAGAGAGCCAAAGTCCATATCCTATAGTGTCACAAATAGTTTGTTCATGTTGTGGTTGGACTGTTTGATGACCTTCGTTTATGCTAGTCCTACTTATAGAAGGCGGCGTGTGGTATGGGAGAGTCTTAAAAGACTGGAAAATGGTATTTTCACTCTGTGGCTTATCGGCGGTGATTTCAATTGCATTCTGCGTACTTAAAAGAAGGGAGAAGCAGTCAGAATGCTTATATTAGCACCAAATTTGCGGATTGGCTATTTAATCATTAGTTGTTGGAAGTCCCTACTAACGGTACTTTGTTCACATGGGAGCGTAAGTATTTGGACAGGAAAGTGGAGGAAAAATTGGATCTCTTTGTGTGCAACCAAGCATGGAGCGACGTTTTTGGGGCTGGGTTGGTTCGACATTTGTCCCGTGTCCGTTCAGATCATGTCCCGATTTTGGTGCGTTGTAAATTTAATTCTCGAGGACATACCACTGTTGAGGCCTTCAAGTTTATTGTTGGTCGGTTGCTCCATGATGGCTTCCAAGGCGTAGTAGAGGAAGCTTGGGATGGCAACTCAAATTATGAAAGCTCGGTGCACCGTTTCACGGAGAAGGTAAGGAGCTGGAATTATAATGTTTTCAGTAACATTTTCTTGAAGAAGAAACTATTGCTAGCCAAAATTGGGGGTACAACCTGAATTGCAGAAGTATACTACCAGTCAGCTACTTAAGCTCGGGGAGGAATTGTGCAGTGAGAGTGCTTCTTTAGGAAGAGTTGTTGATGCTCCAAAAAAGCCAGCGGGTGATTGGTCGTCATTAGGTGACCGTAATACAACATATTACCATCAAAGAGTAAAGGTTCAAAGACAAAGAAATAAAGTTCTGTCTCTTTATGATGATAATGGCAATTTGGTCGAGGATGCTGAGCAGTTAAACACTTTAGCACTCAATTATTTTACCAAGATTTATGCTATCAGCCCACAATCCGAAGACGCAATACACCTTCCCAATTGTTTTCCGTCGTTTGATCAAGATCATGTTGCATTGATAGGAAGGGATATCTCGGATTTGGAGATGTTGTCCACACATAAAGAAATGAGTCCCTTAAAGGCACCTGGGGTTGATAGCCTCCATGCACTGTTTTATCGGCGACAATGGGATGCTGTTGGTCCGTCGGTGTGTGATCTTGTTAGGCTTATCATAGTCGATGTAGTTATGCCAACAGATTTGAATCGTACGCTAATCGTGCTTATTCCAAAAGTGGAAAATCCACAGACAGTGAAACAATTTCATCCAATTAGTCTTCTTAATGTAGTATATAAACTTGCTACTAAAGTTTTGGAAAATCGAATGAGGGTTCTTTTGGCAGATCTGGTGGGTTCGGTACAAGTGAGTTTTATTCCAGGCTGGCACATCACAGATAATATTGTTGTTACTCAGGAAAAATTCACTCGATGTGTACCAAAACTGGAAAGACGGATTACATGGTTATTGAAGTGGATCTTGAAAAAGCGTATGATTTCTTGAGTTGGGATTTTCTCCATGAGACACTTCCATTTGCTGGCTTCCCGGAATTGATTATAACGGGCCTGATGACATGTGTACGGTCAACGTTGATGCAATTGCAGTTTAATGGGATGAAAAGTGATACATTTTTCCCATCTCATGGGGTTCGTCAAGGAGATCTGGTTTCTCTGTATATGTTTGTTTTGTGCATTAAAAGATTGGTGCAATTGATCAATGATAGGGTGGCGAATGGATACTGGAGGCCGATTCGGGTCGGTAGAGGATCTGCATCTGTCCCTTATCTATTTGTTTGGTGATGATCTCTTACTCTTTTTAGAGGTTTCGGAGGAGCAAGTAGTTGTTTTAAAGTCAGTTCTAGGAATTTTTTGTAAGCATCGGGCTTGAAAATTAGTGAAGCCAAGACCAGGGTTTCTTCTCCAAGAATGTCTTGGCTTCAAAGAAAGCGGAATTGTCACATAATTTGGGCTTCACAGAGGTGGATAACCTTGGTAGTTACCTTGGTACGCCACTATTACATGGTCGTGTGTTAAACAGTACTTATTCGGCAGTATTGGAGAAGGCGGAGACTCAGTTGGGTTGCTGGAAAGAATCATTTTTATCCATGATGGGACGTGTGGTTCTTGCATAGTCAGTGGTTAGGGCTATTAATAAGGTCTGTGATAAAGTTGTTGTTGGTACAAGGTGGTTGATGGGTAATGGCCGTCGAGTTCGTTTTTGGTTGGACATTTGGTTACATGGGACAACCCCGTTGCATACTTTAGCCTTAGATGTAATCCCAAATAATCAAATCAAAATGATCATCCACCATTTTGTCAACAAAAATGGGAACTGGAGGTGGGAGCTTTTTGCACATTTGCTGCCAGTGTCGGTTCTTCTTCATATTACCGCAATTTTGTCGTCAAATGCAATTGCCAGCCTGGAGAGTGTGTATTGAGGACATTCTGAAAATGGCAAATTTTCTACAGAGTCTCCCTATGATGCTATAACCGACGTGGAGCAAGTTGGTAATAGGCGGTTATGGAAGCTAATTTGGCATTGGATCAGTCCACGAAGTGTTAGGCAATTCATGTGGTTGGTAGCTCACGAGAGATTGTTGACAAATTCGGAAAGATGTCGACGCCATTTGACCGAGAATCCTATATGCGATTTATGTCAGGCGGGAGTTGAAACAACCCTGCATGCATTGCTTGATTGCACATTTGAAAAACAATGTTAGTAGCGAGTGATCTCCCACAATCTACATGCTGATTTTTTCTCTATGGGTTTTAAACAGTGGTTTTGTACTAATCTCACAAGACTTATGGGCATAGATGGTTAGGATTCGGACAGTATGTTTGGGATTATGTGTTGGCGAATCTGGCTGGGTCGCAATTCTCACATGTATTCATCAAAGCCATTCACCATTGATCATAGAGTAAAGGAAGTCAAGGGCTTTGTTAGAAGTATCAAAGCTGCATCAGTGGTCCCTTCCGCCTAATGGTTGGGTGAAGATCAATTCGGATGGCTCTTTCGACAACCATCTTAGGCGGGCGAGTGCTGGTGGTTTGATTTGCGATGCTTTTGGACGGTGGTGTCGAGGGTTTGTCATGAATATAGGGTTTGTCTCAATAACTGATGCTGAATTACGGGGGCTTTTTCAAGGTTTGCAGTTGGCGTGGCATTTGGGATATCGGCTAGTTCTCGCCGAGGTGGAGAATCTCAGTGTGGTGCAAATGGTTCATAACAAAGGTTTTGTTGGAATGCATGGGGGTCTAGTTCATCGTATTTGGGAATTGATTGAGATGGACTGGGCAGTAGAGATAAGACATATCTATCGGGAGGCAAATTTTGCAGTTGATTACATGGCATCGTTTGCTTCAGTTGGATCGTTGGGTGTTCAATGGATCTATAACCCGCCCCCCGGGTTGAAACCATGGTTGGAGCACAAAATTATCGGCGTCTCCATCCATGGAGTGTTTTAATTTAATTTATGTCAGGCTTTAGCTTCCTTCTTTGTACCAAAAAAAAAGATTTATCAAGAAAAACTTTAATGAAATAACGTAAACATTAGCTTCAAAATTTTCAAAAATAAATTAATATTTTTCTATCATGTTTTTCTAAAACCTTAACATTTCAAAACTCTATGATAACTATTCTACTAATCTTAAAGTTTGACTACTTCTCAAGCAAGTTTTACTTGTTTTGAAAGATTTTATGATGAGATAGTAACTTTAAAATTTTACTGATTTCTAACTACTACAAACATGAAATATCAAGATTTCATGATTTTTTTCTCTTAAGCCAAACTGTAATTTTTATGCATTTTTGTCAAAAAGAACCTCTATGAGTTTACTACTACATTTTTTAATTTCAAAGATCCTGAAATAGAATTATGACTATAAATGTTTAAAGTATTATAATCGAGAGAATCTAAGAGTAAATATGTTTACTAAATTACTATGGACAAAATAGTTTATGAACTTTTTTTAAGTCTCCAAGGTTTTGTGAACAAAAATATATGTTACTAGTTTTCATATCTTTTTTTATAACAAAAGATATAAGGTCCTGGAATGAAAGCACATAATTTGGGAAGTTTAGGAACGACATAAGATAGAAAATAAATCAATGATGTATATTAAGCTTTAGTAGTCATATTGAAACAAGATGTATATTCAATAATAGGGGAATGAAAAGATCTTGAATTTCTCGTAGATGAAAATAGTCCAAGAAAAAGTGTGTTCCCTCGCACGATGTACATAGTCGTTTAAGTGGTTATGTGAACTAAGTGTTGTACTATTATACATAGAATGTGAAAGTTTTCTTTGAATATTTTGAAAATGAGACTACATGCAGATATGATATAATGGGTAGTGATAACGCAAGTAAAAGGGGATGAGAAAAGGTGAAAACCCCAAATCTGGAAGTAAATGTAAGTGGGGGGAAAAAATTCTTGAAAGTCCAAGTCCTAACATAACGAGAGTGGGCTTAAGTTAAAATGATCTGTAATTTCGGAGGGTTTATATCCGGAACTGTGTACAAATAATGATTATAAAGTATATCGCTAAGTCTAAATTTCTAAAGTCATAAATGTTTATGACTGATCTCACAACTTTGAAAATGAATATGGTTGAATGTCTCATGTTAGAAATGTGAAAGTTTTGTAG